CAAGTGTTTAAATGAGACGACTAAATGTCACCACGCCCAACATTAGCCGCCTTTAGCTTAGCGGTGGTGACGTGAAGTCATGTGACCGTGCTGTAGTTACTTTATAGCTCAACATTAGCCGCCTTTAGCTTAGCGGTGGTGACGTGAAGTCATGTGACCGTGCTGTAGTACTTTATAGCTCAACATTAGCCGCCTTTAGCTTAGCGGTGGGTGAAGTCATGTGACCGTGCTGTAGTTCCTTTATAGCCCAACATTAGCCGCCTTTAGCTTAGCGGTGGTGACGTGAAGTCATGTGACCGTGCTGTAGTTCCTTTATAGCCCAACATTAGCCACCTTTAGCTTAGCGGTGGTGACGTGAAGTCATGTGACCGTGCTGTAGTTCCTTTATAGCCCAACATTAGCCGCCTTTAGCTTAGCGGTGGTGACGTGAAGTCATGTGACCGTGCTGTAGTTCCTTTATAGCCCAACATTAGCTTTTTATTTCTGGAGATTGCATTTGCACTTCAAAAATGATATAAAGATGTGTTAATAAATGTTTGTTTACCATGGAGTTTATTTTCTGAAATCCAATAGTCATGGTCAATAATCCTCCCTGCTCCACTCTCTTTGTCCCAGTAACAAACTGATCCTTAACCACTACTTGTTGCACTCATCCTTCCATCCTCTGTATTCTTTTCCCAGATTCCTCTGCCTCCCGCTCTAAACGACCCTCCTCAGATTTATCTCACCAGTGTTGGGGATCCTTCCTCTCTCACCCCCATTATCCCCATCGGAGGGTCCAATCCTGTGCCCCCCCCTCACATATCCATGGCTCCTCAGATGCAGGAAGACTGTGGGGGAATCACCAATAATGCCAGCTACCCTCCTCACCCCCAAACTGCTCCTCACCCGAATCATCAGCCTGTTTTTGTCATCATCAAACCCCCTCCCACACAGCAAATTCAGCATCAGGCGGCCATGACGGCTTCTCCTCTCTCCGTCGCTCCTCTTCCTCCATCTTCTGTCCGTCCTCTTCCTCTTTCTCCTTCTTCTGTCCGCCCTCCTCCTCCTCCTCCCATCATCATCAAGGAGGAGAACCTGCCGTCGGAGGGGGAGGAGCTTCTGAAGATGGTGCCTCTGGAGGAGAAACAGGTGGAGGAGGTGAGAGAGAGAATAATCTGATATTTTCAGAATGTTCTGGATTCAAAATTGAAATGTCCTCAATTGTCTTTTAATATATTTCTTAGGTTAATTTTCTCATATTTTTTAGATGCTATATAATACAACTTTCTCATATTTAGATTTTATTCATATTTTATAATTTTTAAAAACGAACAAAATGATCACACAGCATCACAGAGAGTCCAGAGAGAGTCCAGATGTCTGCTGCCTCGTTCCTCAGACTGATGACCTGTTCGTCTCTCTGCTCCTCCCCCAGGTCCCTCAGCTAACCTGTCACTCGGGGGAACTAGAGCCCCCCATCACCATCGTGGAGAGCCCCCCTCCCCCCTGCATGGAGCCAAGCAAGGACTCGCTAACAGGTAACGGAAAACTGTTCTCACTGAGGAGTTTCTCACAAAGAGAGAATGTACCGAATTATCCACAGACGCTTTCATAATCACCATTATGTAGATTCTGTGATGAGGAAGAGGAAGAGGAAGAGGAAGAACAGATGCATTTATTTTTTTATTGTCCACATGTTGCAAGTCTGTGGTCTTAAGGCCCTGACACACCGAGCCGATTTCGGCCGTCGATGAGCGTCCTGTCGCCAGATTGGTGTGTCCCGCACCGTCGTGTCTTTTCGGCCGTGCCGGGCTGTCGGCAAAAGAAATCACTCTGATTGGCTGTTCAGCTTAGCGAATCGGTGCATGAGAAGCGAAACGGAAGTGAAGAAGGCACACACAGATGGCTATTTTTAATTTTCCAGTACCGCACTAAACATGTTTTCGATTATAAGTCAATATATGTTGTTTGTATATATCACCCAGTCTGTCTTCCGGTTGCCTCTTTTGAATGACGAATACACACTACCGCCGCCTGCTGGTAAGGAGAGTTATTGCCACTCACGCATGCGCAGTGCGTACGTGCTACTTGGCCGTCGGCTGAAGTCTTTGCGGTGTGTTCCAGTGCGACACATGGCCAAGACGCAGGAGACGTGAGGCGACACAACAGTCGTGTCCTTTGGTGTCAGTTCGGTGTGTCCGGGCCTTTACGTGTTATAATTGGCTGAAGACACTCAATATTGAATTTACACCCTTTCATATTTTATTTGGGCTTTTAGATGAAGACGGCACACAGTTAATAAATACAACTATTCTTCTGGCTGAAATACATATTTTTAAAACTCAATCAAGGAGTAATCTTAATTTAAGGTGTTTGAAGAGTAGATTCAAAATACAATTTCATTTGGAGAAGATTATTGCCACAAAAAATCAACACGCCATGAAATGGGAAATAATGAGCTCTAACGAAGAGTGGGATTAAAGGAACTATAAATATGCCATGTTGTGTTTTTGGTTGTGAACCTATTTTTGTTTGTGAAATGTTGAAGTGGTCTTTATTTCTTCTGCTTTTGTTGTTTTGTTTTTGTCTGAGATGGGAATGTCATCCCCTATATGTTATTCTTATGTCCATGTTTGTGTCTTAAGATAAAATAAAAAAAACAGGCTTTCACAGTGA